TAGCGTGTCTGTAGCCACGGCCGAAGGGTCTTTGCCTTTCAGTGCCTGGAGCCAATCGGCTTCCCAGCTCGTAGGCACTACTACATCAACAACAGACCGGGTCCCGTGTCTACTGTCACGGCTCAGTAGATCGCGCCAGTCGATCGCCTCGACTTCCTCCTTGAACTCCACAAATGAAGCAGCACGTGTCTTCACTGTGATCTCCAGGGGGGTCCAGATGGCTTGTTGGCAAGCAAGGAGTCCCTGTAGCACCCCCTGCTCTCTTTCCGTAGTCCACACCGCAGTAGTGGGATCGCGCTGGAGTTCCTCAATCTCCGTCTGGACATATGCCAAGATCTCATTCTCCTCGGGCTGGTAGAGGGGGTAGCGCTTGAGGATCAGCTCGACGGCCGCCTGGGTCGAGTCCGCGTAGGGCAGGGCGAGCTCGTCCTGGATGATATCGCAGATCTCGTTGTAGGCCTCGACCACGCTGGGGTGCCAAGTCGGTGCCACTCCGGGCAGCCCTCCGCTTTCGTCTCGCTCCGTGGCCGCGGGAGTGTACTGCTCGACGTCAGACTTACGTCTGACGCGGCTACCAAAGCCTGGAGCTAGGCGATCAGCTCGACATCCTGCTGCTTGAAGGGCTCCAACACATAGTGGAGCCGCTCGTAGGTGTGCAGCTAGTCTCCCCTCCGACCAGCATTCCGTTCCACAAGCACGGCACTTTGTCCCTTGGGTGAAGAGCCTGTACATAGCGACCCGCCCATGCTTCTTGAAGTAGTGGACGCTGAGGCTCGCCTTTGTGTCAAAGCCCACCTTGCATTGTCGGCATTGCCACACCACAGTTCGTCCAACATGCTCCGCTGTCTCCCGTAGTGTGCGAGCCATGGCCCACAAGCACAGTTCGGTCGCCTCGGGGATGATGCGGGCCTCTTGCTCCTCCACGAGCCTGCACTTCACAAGGCGTTTCAGCCTCTGTGGGGAGTCGTGGAGGACTCGCCACCAGTCTGGCCACGCCTGCACTCCAAGCATCGGCCAGTGCTTTTCACGGCCGCTTGTCGCCCATCGTAGGTCCTCTCTGACCGTTGCCATCCAGTCTTTCTCCTCCTGAAGCACACCCCAGAGGAGCCCTGGGGCAGCCTGCACAAGCGAGACAAGCAGGCTAAGCCTTTGTGTCTTCGCGAGCAGGTCGATAGGCAGGCATTTAGTAACCCACATGATCAACGGCAGGGGGACTTTGAAGAGGAGGGCGTGGTCCACATTCCGGGTGAGGAGCTTCCTGACGAGTCTAGCGTGTCCTGCACATAGGCTCGTCCATGCTGGTCCAGACGGCTTCCAGAGGGCCAGGTTAAAGTAGGAGGTGGCTACGGTGATCTCGAAGAGGGCGACTCGGGTGGGCAGCTCGAGGTCCTTATTGTGCAGGAGGAGCTTCTTGGCCGACTCATAGGCTTGCGATGCCACTGCAAGCCGGTGCCTAACCTCCGGCTTGAAGGTCATCTTCAGGTCGATGACGCCGCCCAGGTGTCGGTACTGGCATACAGTGGGGATCTCCAGCGCCAAGTCTGGGATGGTCAGGGCAGCCTTTCCTCTGTTGAAGTATTTCCTCCTTGTCGTAGTCGAACCTGGTCCCCTGAGCTGCACCATGAAGCTGGTTTTACCAGGCCGCAGATTCGGCTGCATGCCGTGCGAGGTGAGGACGCTGAGCACAAGGGCGCCGACTCTGCGGGCCTTTGCGACCAGCCTGTTCGGGCACTCGTCTTCGACAACATATGCCGAATCATCAGCCCAAGTGGCTTCCCAGGCTTGCTCTGTTGTGCCGCCCTGACCCGTTGGGAAGACTCCAGCATCAGCCTCCCACTCGACCGTGAAGTTCAGCTCCTCCGCCACCAGGTGCTCATGTACTCGGTATAAGACCCGGCTGTAGATGAACGCGTAGATGACGTCCGCGAAGGATTCCCCAGGACGTGAGCCAGCCTTCGACCAGCACAGGGCCCCGCCACCGTGGTAGGTGGTGACAAACCAAGTGCGCGGGTGGAGGTCCTTGATGGCGTGTCTCAGCTGGCTGTTCACGCCGGCTGCCGCAATCATACCTCCCCGACGAATGGTCGCCATCATGTCATGGAGGTCTTCGTCGTCCAGTCCGAAGGCACGGAAAAGAGAGATCACCTGGGCGTCGCTGTCGATGCAACCAGTCGCGAGGTCTCTGACGACTTTATAATATGCAGCCTTGGTGTCGACGTAGAGGGTGGCACAGCTCCTGCCGTCCCGTGCCAACTTGCGCAAGGCCGCCAGCACGTAGATCCCAGGGAAGGCGACCGGGGTCGACTGTCGGGTTCCACAGTGAAGAGGGTGCAGCAGTTGTTCAATCTCCGGTCCGATGAGGGTCCGCAGCGTCTTGTGGTACGACTTGCCCAAGAAGGAGGAGATGAAGAGGCTGCGGTAGTTCTCGACAATGGAGGGGGTGCCGCTATTCTTGTAGGCCTCACATAGTACCCCTCCTCTCCATTGAAGGGGTTGGGCTCCAACAAGCATGGATTTGAGGTAAAGCGGCTGGAGCATGGTCGCGAGGATCGTTGG